CAKYMWASRWTYMWMCAAGAAAGAAGCACAACTCCAAAATGTCTACCATGTGCTAGGTATGAAAAAGAATTTATTATCAGTATCTCAATTAACTGCATCTGGTAATTATGTAGTGTTTGGTCCAAATGATGTTAAAGTATATCGAAGAATACATACACTAGAGGCACCACTTATGGAAGGACGGAAATTAGAGTCTATCTACGTAATGTCTGCTGAATTAGCTTATGTAAAAAAGACTCAACGTAATGAAACCACTGATCTTTGGCACGCAAGACTTGGCCATGTTGGATATAACAGGCTCAAAGTAATGATGGTAAAGTCAATGTTGAAAGGCCTCCCTCAATTGGAAGTATGGACCGACACAGTATGTGTTGGATGCCAATATGGTAAGGCACACCAATTACCAGATACTGAATCAAAGTTTCGAGCTAAACAACCTTTGGAGCTCATTCACTCTAATGCATTTGGACGAGTGAAGCAAGAATCAAACACCAGGATGCGGTATATGATAACATTTATTGATGATTTCTCAAGGTACATATGGGTGTACTTCTTAAAAGAAAAATCTAAAGCATTTTCAGAGTTTATAGAATTGAAAGAGAAGGTCGAAAAAGAAGTTGGGTATAAAATAAAGTGCCTCTGCACTAACAATGGAGGAGAATACACATTAGAAGAATTCTCAGATTATCTCAGAAAACATGGGATACGACGACAGTTGATACGTCCAAATACTCCACAACAAAATGGAGTAGTTGAGAGAAAGAACTGGCTTTTAGCTGAAATATGCAGAAGCATGTTGCATAGTAAAAATGTGTCAGGACGATTTTAGGCAGAAGGCATGAAGACTGCAACACATGTTATCAATCGACTACCGCAAGCATCACTTGGCTTTCTCTCACCATATGAAAAGTTATGGAATCGTCAGCCCATAGTAAGTTACTTTCGCGTATTTGGTTGCATATGTTACGTATTTGTGCCAAACCATCTACACAACAAATTCGATAAGAAAGCTATTCGGTGTATATTCCTCGTCTATGATAGTGAAAGAAAGGGATGGAGGTGCTGTGATCCAAATACCAATCATTGCTATACATCTCGAAATGTGGTATTTGATGAAGCTACCTAATTCTGAAATTATGGAAGAGAATTTACAAGAGAAGATAAAWGAAAAAGAAGATTTAGAGCCCCAACCTAGCTCATCTGATACTCAAAAATCTCCAAGATCATGGAGCACTGGTGTTCTTGAGAAAAAGACAGCTGAAGATATTAGACCAAGTCAGATGGAGGAGCTAGAGGAACAACCAAGACAAGAATTACGAAGGTCAACTAAGGTTAGACGCCCTAACCCTAAGTATATAGATGCCACACTCGCTGAAGAAGTTAGCAACTTAGAACCAACTAGTTATGAAGATGCCTGTCAAAGTGAAAGATGGCAAAAGGCAAGAAAAGAGATTCAAGGCCTAAAGCAAAATGAAGACTTTTGATGATTAGCAAGAGAGAAGTCATTGCGAAAGGGGAGAAATGAGAAGTCAGCAACTGACTTCCTTAAGTCGGTTCAAAAACTGACTTAACTTTTGGTTAAAAAGGACCCACGTGATCCATGTAAAAACCGTAAAAAATAAAAACCGCCTCTAATGAGCGGTTAGCTCATGTATAAATAGGGGCTCACCCCCTTCAAACATGTAGTAATCCCAAGTTAAATAGTAAGGGTGTGGTGCAGAAGAGTCTTTTGGTGAGTAGCCTCCAAGTAAGGTTAGTGAGTGTAATTTTTAAAGTTAAAATAGTGCATGTGTGTGATACATTGTGAATGCTTGTATCTTTGTATGCTTTGCATTAGTAATATGCATAGCTATTTTCAGTTATAGTGTGTTTGCTTCTCTTTGTTTTTCTTGTGTGCTCCCGCTTGTTTGTTTGGTTTCTACAAATGTCTCCATTAGTCATGGGAAACAACTAAATCTTGACCAATGTCTAACATTTTCTAGAAGAATTTCAGTCTATTTTTTTGATAAATAAAATAAGATTTCATTAATAGAGAAATAATGCAGTTACAAGCTTCCCATGGAGAGGCACGAGCTGCGTCCTCTCCTAACAGCAGGAATAAAGCAAAAGATAGAAAACAGATTCGAATTTCAGTCTAAGTTTGCAATAATATCTCTAAAGCACAAGTAGAACTTCATGAAAAATGTTATAAAATTCAAGATGAATGACACCAGAGATATGATTGGAGTGCCAAATAATAGCTAGTCTATAAAGAATTAGAATCCTATTCTTGAAGATGAAATACAAGAAAAGGTGGATAAAACATGGAATTCCCAAAGCCAAATTTGGATGTTCAAAAGATTTACCAAGAACTTGTTGAGGATGTTCACCACGTGCTTGATGGAAATATTCAGCAAAGTTCAAGAGATAGCTATCTATAAATTTGTTTTAAGTGTTTGTACCATAATACAGTATATAATGTGTAGCATATCTCTCTTCTTTATTTCTTGTTTATATTTAAATTTAGCCCATCAAGGGGGACAGCTCTGTAAACTTCCCTTCATGAGGATCTTTCAGAGATTTGCACATGTAATACAGATTGGTATCTGGACAGATACTGGTGAACACACCACAGGTTCTCCCAAAATTTTCTTCTCCCATTTGTCATTCACATTACAATCTGTGTACTCCAACAAATAATAACCCTCAAAATTATTATTTATGGTAAAGCCACAAATTTCTATTTTTTCTTCAGATTAAGTTAGTGGTTGTCAGTTTCTTCAAAGAGTTTTTTATTGAGGTTACAATTTCTTCATCATTAGGTATCAGAGTTTGTTTACATAGCCTAAGCATAACCTACATAGAACTTTATAAATATATTGCAAGCCTTCAATAAGAGCTTTATGAATGTAAAATGATTTGAAGCTGTATTTTGTTGTGCCTTGTGAGATACATTATCCCCTTTCTCTTTCTTTTTCTTCTTTTTTTTTTCACCATGAATCTCTCTTTTTCTTCTAATGGTGCATTGTTTCTTCCTTTTTCTCTCTGAATCTCTTTCTCTCATAATTCAGATCCTTAATTTCCTCTTCTTTCCACCACGTGAAGATTGTACAATTTTTCTCCTCATCCTACATCAATCAGTTTGATATCAGAGAACTTGGTCCTACATCACCAGATCTTTTTGTATGTGTTCCCATGTGCTTTCAACAAATATGTGCACAAAGACGTGGACAAACAAATGCCCTAAACTAAATCTATCTATCTATCTATCTATTGCTTATACGAAGAACTTACTGATGCAGTTGCAAGAGGTGTCTCTACAAAATAAGAGAAGAGATCAACCATTGGTTTCCCCAATTCTTTCTCTATTGTCCGGCAAACCTGTAAAAAATGCAGTTAACTATTAGAGTAGCCCCATTGAATTAAGCAAGGATTTAAATGATGATAGTTAAGATGGTGGGTAATTACTGACAAGGATTAAAGTGACAATAGTTTCCATTCAAATCCACAAATACATATGTTTTGCTGCTCTCGCATTGATATAGACACCAAGTGATCTTATAAATTTCACAGCTCCATAACTTATGATATGATTTCTAGTGCATAGGTATAACAAAACCCAATATCATGTGATACAGTCAATACTTGGTCAATAAATGTGGATAATTTATTAAGTTGTTGCTAAACTTGACTTTTCATGGACTTTTAGAATTTACATGTTAAATACTTTTTTAAGAGTTTTAAAAACATAGTAATTATTTAAATAAGTTGTATATAGTATTGAAATCTAAAAATTTTCATAGGCCATTATTACAAGACTACTGGTTTATTTTTCTCACAGAACCATTCAGCTTAAAAGCAAGCTGTTAGATGAGGTTACTGAATAGGTCTTTATTCTCTAACACACACCCTCACATGAAAGCCCATCGCACTTGAATTGTGGACAAGCACAAACCCACTCAAGTATTAAGTGCAAGCAAACATAATTACTGAAAGGTTGGTATTATTTTTATATTACTAACATTCGTAGAAAGTGAGGAGGATGTCACCCAAAAAATTAGAGAGAGATGGGCAAAATGGACACGTGCATCTGGACTTTTACGTGACAAGCGAATACCACTCAGATTGAAAGGAAAATTCTATAGAACAGTTGTAAGATCAGCTATGTTGTATGGAACAAAGTGTTGGGCAATCAAGAAACAACATGTCCAGAGAATGAGCATGGCAGATCAGGATGGAGTTATCCATAGGAACCTAGGAGTAGACCCAATAGGTGATAAAATGAAAGAAAGTAGAGTAAGATGGTTTGGCCATGTGCATAGAAGACCATAAGCAGCACCAGTTAGAAGAAGTGATTTGTTACAAGTTGAAGGGGCTAGAAGGGCTAGGGGTAGACCAAAAAGGACATGGGTAGTAGTAAGAAATGATTTAAGCACTAATAATTTAACAGTAGATATGGCTTTAAAGAAAACAGATTGGCAAAACAGGATTTATGTAGCCGACCCCATGTAGTTGGGACGATGATGATGATTCATAGAAAGTGTCAATAAAATTGAAAAAGTTAGCCACTCATGTCCTATGCCTAAATTAAATCTATTTTTGAGTTGGATGACCAACATGTCAGTGTTGATGCCAAAACAAAATCTACATCAAAGACTGTTGAGCAAGAACTAGAGAAGAGAGGAGAGGAGAGGAGAATAGAGAGGGAGAGAAGAGAGGAGAGGAGAGTGGACTGAGAGCCCTCCTTAACTCAATGGGCGAGAGTTAGTATTATTATTTATACTGGCCCAGTCGTACAACATAAAGACAAGAGAAAATTACAACAGTACCCTTGCGGTACTAAACCTGAGAACATAAACAACTGTTAACACTCCCCCTCAAGTTG